CACTCCGTGCAGCGGGGAAGAACCTGTGAAATATGAAGAAATGAAAAATGGCAGCCGAAAAGCTAACTCACGCGAGGAGTTCCCGGCGGGAAAGGAAAACCGAAAGCCTCGCGAAGGCGCTCCCAACCAAAGACGAAGCCCTTGTCGACTTGAACCGGCAGCGGGTCCAGAGTCTTGAGAGACGGGAGAAGTTGCATAAGCATCTTCTTTTGGTCGGTGGAGAGCGACTGGTTGCGAGTGAAGAGATGTTTTTCCCAGTCAAGGGTACTGTGCTGGGTAGTATAAGCTGGCGGCCAAGAAATCGAAAAATTGAAAGAACATATCTGGCGGGTTCCCCGAGAACCGTCAGTAAGGATAATAGCGTTGAGGCGAACTTGGCCCTCTGGACCGGCGGCTACGTCGAGAAAGGCGTCTCGAGTCGCGGAAGACACGCCAGGAACGGTGGCGGCCTTGGACTTCGTGGTTTTCTTGTTGCGGGCAGAACGGCCTAGTAATGGGGGATTAGTGAAGATGGAAATTTAAGGCGTCGCGCCGAAGCAAAAGAATTTAAAAAGAATACTCACGAGGGCCCGCTGGAGGATTGGCGGCCTTGGAAGCCTTCTTGTCCTTCCTACCGGGCTGAAAAACACAAGGAAAGGAATCAGTCACCAAAGAGAAGGGGACGAGTTGAAAAACTGCTCACCGGCGGGGACTTTTTCTGGTACTTGCGCTTCTTGCGCGGTGGTGAAAGGTCCTCGGGGGTGGGAAGTGGGATCTGACTGGCGGCGTTCCTCGCGGCCCAAGTAGCGGGGTCATCCAACGCGTCGTCCTTTGAAAAATTATGGCACATATACTGTCCAATAATTCAAAACTACACCACCTGGCCAAAACCCACAGAAAAGCACACAGCTTGGAGAAATTGGAACGAAAAATACACAACTTTGCATTGAGGCACAGGAAAAATACACAACTTGTTCTCGGTAACAAATAGATCCCAGAGGTTCAATTTTATTATGAGACAACACCAGTACACCGCTTGGACGTGCAGTACAACAATCAGTGTCGGCAACTTTATGAGCAAATGCCCATACCATGATGACAGGATACCATCCTGTATTTTCGAGGAAGGAGGCCGTGGGACTCTCATAGGGACTCTACCATTCAAAAAACACCGTCTTCGCATCCTGCATTCCTCAGGCTGGGAATCAAATGCCAAGCAGCAGAGTACTGATACCATACACCGATTGAACATGCAAACCTAATTACTCAATTCCCATCCCCTTTATCTCTCGCAACCCTGAAATATGAGCGAGGAGGGAGGGTGAGTGTGGAACCTTGATTCTAATGTAGCCTGATGTATCTGATGTTGACAGACAGCCTTTCCTCCTTGGACATCTCAGAGCCTCGAAGTGTACATGAAGTGTACACGAGTGAGGAACTCGGGAAGGATGTGAACATTGGCCATCAATTGTGAAATCGTGCAATTGATGTCAACAATCTTTGACTTGGAAATGCCAAGTCCATCCTGTGTGTTTTCATAGAAGATGAGGGGTTGTGTAGTTTTTATTCTGATAACCAAGTAGTGTAGTATTTTGTAAAGTTGAGAACCAACTGGTGTAGGTTTTTACTGGTAAGTTGTGTGTTTTCTCTTTGAATTATTGGACAGTATATGGCCCATAAAAAATGAATAAACTAAGAGAATTTGAGCGGACCCAGAGTGCTTACCGCCAAATTGGCCTCTCCTGAGGGAGGGCTCTTGCGTTTATCCCGAACGGGTTGCGAGGGACCGGAAGCAACTGTTGGGCGGCCAGTAAGGGCTAAGAGGCGTTGGCGCATTTTGTGCTTGTCCTTCGCCTCCGCAGCCTGTCTGGCGGCCAGTTCCTCAGCCGAGATAGAAGGCTGTAGGATTCAACGAGAAAGGTCGTAAATAAATGGAAATGAAAATAGAAAAGATACGCACCATAGAAGCCGTGAGCTGCTGCAGGTACCGGCGGGCCTCTTCGAAGTGACCGCTTGGAGGGCTGGCAGGACGCGGTGGCGGCGTTGGTGTTGGAGCAGGAGACGGTGTAGGCGTCGGGACGCGAGGCGGAGGCGTTGGAACGCGCGGCGGAATAACAAAGCCAGCGGCGGCTGGATAACTCTGATGTTGAAATACATCAGCGGCCAGCAAGGAGAATTGAAATTTGAACGCACGGGATAGGCTTCATGAAAGACGTCCCACCAAGAATTGGCGGCGTTCTCAATCTCGCCCCGAGGGTCTAAAAATTCGGCGATTTCGCGGAGGTTCGAGTGAAAGAAACGGAGTTCGGGAGGGAAATCGGAGCGGCGGTTGAAGGGCTCGAATTGGGCCGCATTGGCCGCCTGACCCACTCGGCTCAGAATTGAAGAACAGAATGAAAAAGAAGTGAGGCGCACCAGTTGATCCCATACCGACGGCGTGAAAAATGCACGCAGTTGCTGGCGGGGGGTGGACTCCGACACGCCGGGGCGAACCAACTCGAAAATCCTAAGGATTCCCGGGACGTTGCGCAACGTCGACCACCAGTCTGGAGCGGGCGGTGGCATCGAAGTATCCTGCGGGGCGGTGGACGCGGCCTTACGGGATTTGGTCCTCTTGTCTTTGGCCATAATCTGTAAAACAGGATTATGGTTGGAGAGCGAGAGGCGGTGTTAGAACAAGAGAAGCTCACAAAGATGTGACGGAGTGGGAATGTGAATGAAAGAAACTACGAGAGGCGTAATCACCTCTAGTAGGGGCAGGAAATGAGTAGCGGGGAAAAAGAGGGAATGAATTCCCTGCCCGCCTCATTATATGCTACCACAGTGCGGAGTTTGAAAATTAGAAGACAGGAACCAAACTGCGGAGGTCTTCCAAAATATATATTGGAGGGATCGCCGCTGGTGAATGTACCTATCCATAAAGAGTAAAAACCCCAACACTTACTGAAAAAGGAAATTTTGGAAAACAGAAATAGGCGGACAATCATGCTGATTGCTTCCGCTTCTGGCCCCAAGGGTTCCGGGTCCCTCGGGCGACTCATTGCCCGCGGGTACTCAATTGAAATCCGCAGCGGCCAGAGCGGTGCGTGGTTACGTTATCACGTAACCGTGCCTGTTTCAACCGTGGGAACTTCTGATAGGACTTTGGCGGCGGAATAAACTCTAAACCATTGAATGGGTGGCGGCCGGGCCTCGCTGGCTGCCCGCCCGCTGATGCGCCGCTACTGATGGCGCGTCGGGAATTGATGCCCCGAACTCAATAATGAAAAATTTGACTATGTTGCAGGAGGCTTAGTGCTGACTGAGGACAGTCAGAATTTCAGGAAGGGGGAGATGATAAGGCGTGCACCAGTGCACGCATGAAAATCACATTTTTCATTCATTTCAAAGACTTATCAATTGACTATGTGAGGCTTAGTTGCAGAATGTACGTTCTCCTCGGAACGGTACATTAGATCTTTGAAGGCCGAAAGCCAATGGGACACTACGTTGTAGCGGCTGAAGACGGTTCGTTATCAACCAGAATCAGTACACTATGCTTACTGTTGGGCGCCGGGAGTCAGCTAACCACTGGATTCCTTGTGTGCTGGAGATTAAACAAGAGGGATTATTGAAGTTTAGAGTAGCCGCTACTCGCGGCTCGGACCGTTATTGACACAATCTGTCAGAATTGAACTTGGATAATGACTTATGGGAGTAGCCGCCACCCGGCTACCTTCATTTCCGTTATCCCCAATTGAATTACGAATGACTACTGAATATGACTTCACTGGCGGCTAGACTTCCGAAGTCGGCTAAACACAGATTATCGAGTAGCCGCCACTGAACTGAATAATGAACAAGTAGGTTGGAGCACCAGCGGCTACTTCCCTTGTGACTCCTAGAATTGAACTATGAAGTGTTGAAGCCTCAGAACCGTCTCTGGCGGCCAGTACGATACTGGCGGCTGGTGAAGCAAAGGTCCTAACAAGGGTCTTCGGACTGGTGGCTAGACTTGGCAACACATGAAATATTGATGAGAATGGTGTCAGACTGGCGGCCAGACCTGGTCGCCATGACTACGCACCCACGGAATTGAATAACGACTCTGCCATTGGCCGCCGGTCATTATGCCAAGCTGGCGGCTCGGTGAAAACTAACCACCGAGGTTTCATATTATCTCCGTTTGTAAAACCAAGTTGTATAAAGCTAGTAGAATTACTCTTGTAACAGTAGTAGACTTCCCCCCCCGCTCGCGGGCTAACAAGTAGACTGTGGATTTGATTGATATTGAATTTGGGTTGCCCGTAATAAGAATTGGATTCTCGTGACGCTTAAGCTCCGAGTTTCTATTAAGATTAGCTAGCCGCCAAGAGTCCAACTCTGCCTAGCCTCTTCTCTTGAAGTGAATCCCAGATTGAGACTTCGTTGACGCTTTAGCTCCGAGTCGCACACGTTATTAACTAGTGCACCCTTGTACTGAGACGTCCAACCCTCCGAGCGGAACTATTTGAAGACGTAGTGAACTTTGTTGACGCTTTAGCTCCAAGTTCCTTGAACATTTTGAAGTCCCAGTTGAAAGACACCACTTTGAGTCTAGCGGCCAAAGCATTTGAAAACCCTTGAAAGCATTTCCGTTGAATTGTGGCTCTAGCCGCTACTGCATCTGCCCGCTGAAACAAACCTCTGAAATTGAAACTTGACTATTCTTGAAGGGCGATACGCCTGTCCTACCTCCCCGAACACACACGAGACATTTTGGTATTGAGTTGTTGAGATTTGATTAGTGTTTTTGAGTTGTTTAGTGTTAGTTGAGTTCGCTCGCTTTCACTCGCTCTTTAGCATAGTTTTCGATTTCACGGCTGCACCCGAGTGCACCGTTTCAACGTCTTCCTTGGTTCGGACATACAGATCATATTTCGATATTTATCCTACTGCGAATCGGCTCTGATGACACCGGAGTAGACAGTAAGATGGCTTGCAGTACGGCTACCCTATTCAAAAATTGCTCACTCAGTCCATGTAAAAACAGTACAGATACCTCGGACGTCGTGCACGGTGCACACCTGCCCTTCTTGCTCGGGAGGAAGCTTTGGAGTCAAGCAGGTGGCCTGGGTTCAACTCCCAGCGTCCGGATGAAGACGAAGATGGTATTCTTTTCCCTTCCTCACTAATTCGATGACTAGGAAACAGATACGTCGAGACTAAAAGCTCCGGGCTGAGTTCATTTCCCCCCCCCCCCCAGAGGTATCGTTCCGTTTGATGTACTATTAATGCCACAATGCCTGTCACCAAAATTGTCCCTCGAAATCGAAAGCGGACCTGCCCTCCTCGAGCCGCTATTGGTATCTGAGACGTGGTGCAGGGTACACGCTCGTTCCTCCTAATGCTGCAAGTGACAGTGAACTTCACACGGGATGATTGGGTTCGATCCCTCGCGTCAGAATGTATCTGGATTGCCGCCTTCCAGAATCAATAGATCACATTTGTGTCTTCCATTGGTATGGAGAGTGACATTTTTGGCTTGTCAAAGTGGCTTGCGCCTGCGCGGAATGGCTTGTATCGGGCTTGGGCTTGGATTTGGGTGTGATGCCAAGCCCAAGCCCGGCTATTTAGCTTGCAAGCCATTCCGTCGGCTTGGCAAGCCATTCCGCCGGCTTGGCGTCGCCCAAAAAATATAAGTGGCTTGTGCATATTATTCGGGCCTAAAGGCATTCACCTTTGTTATGGACAATGCCAGGATATCCTATCAATGTTCTGGTGAGCTCAACATGTTTTAATTCAGAGTTTTCCCTACACAATACCATAATTGGACACAAAATCCGAACAGCAAGGTTCAGGTAGGTCAAAAAACATGCAAGCCTGGTGGCTTGTTCAGCTGCATGGCATCCTGAAAACCTGTCGTATGTACTTACGCTGAAAGAGCGAACCATTTTCACTTGCCTGTCTTTCAACGAAGAATCTTTCTGAGTGCCCCACTGCTAATTTTGGATAAATGTCTTCCATTTCGAGGGTTATTCGATAGATGTGAACCACTAAGCACCGCATGAAGCTACTTGAACCGTGTCGCGGATTTGTGAATGATACAAGTAGTTGTATCATGAGCGCCTGCTCTGTTACAACATAGGACTCCGGTCGCACTCGAAAACTCTCCTTTTCTCAAAGGAATACTTCAAAAATTTGGCACAGACTTATCTCGGACCAACGTTCATTGGGGCTGGTTTAAAACAACAATACTTCTGTTGAACTTGAACTTGAAAGAGGTGGCATGCAATGATAACGCTGAACCCTCCTATACAATTCACCCTGGAGGATCCACATGCGGTGATGTGCCATCTCACCATCATTGGACCCCCAGTATTTCCTCCTGTTGACAGCCTTTGACTGGCTGGATGCTATGGCTTGGGCTTGAGCCGAATGGCTTGTGTCACGTGCCACAAGCCATTCAGCGAACAGCATGGCTTGCGACTGGCTTGGACGGAAAGCTTCCGAGACAAATGCATGTTGTTGACAGAGAATATCTTCATTGTCACCCTCTATTTTCACAAGTCAACCAGCCTTCTGAAGATGCCCAAAACAATTCAATGAAAATAACCATTCAGAGCGGGACAGGCTCAACAACTTCACAAGCCTTATGCAAGCCTGCCTTGCGCAGAGTGGCTTGGGCTTTAATATCGGGAGCGAGATGGCTTGGACTGTATCTGGAGGATGGCTTGGGCATGTTAAAGTGGCTTGGGTTCACGCGTTCACGGAGACATTCAACTTGCTCATAAAAAGAACACAGAATTTTGATGCACTGGTGTACATTAGTTGAACCAAAGCTTTTCCGCGCTCGGGCGGCAGTACCGGTTGTTTGGATACAAGGTGGGAACTTCACAGAAGCACCGTCGAACTTTATAGAAGCGGCGTCGAACTTCATAGAAGCAACGTCGATCTTATCCAAATTGGGCCCCGATCACTCGCGATCATCGCAATAATATGCCAAACTGATCCCTCTTTTTTCATCCCTCCATGTTCCGGCGCATAAAGCGCTTTTTTGGCTTTGGCAAGCCCGTTGCTGCCGAAATCCCCTACCAGTATCCACAAAACCATAACTTCTTGGCGAAATCGAGGATGTGGAATTGAGAGACGATCAGGTAATTCTAATTGGAGAACCTGGTTAAACTCTACCGACAATCCCCTTTACGTAGATTGGCAACATACGGCTACCATTTTACATGAAGCCCGACCACCCTTATCATTCCAACCCAAAGCTCAGTGCAATCTTCGACGCTGCCGTTCCCCAAGTCGCCAATATTCTCGCGGCATGGGATGATTCCCATCCAGTAATCACCAGTTTCAACCAATATTTTGCCAAGAAGCCGGAATTTGAACGGCGACGCAAAGCTGTCCTTGGTTCCGACGCCTGAGTTGGAGGTTGTTATTGCTCCACCTTTGGCTGCTTTGATGGAGCACCAACTACTTACCGAACTCGCGGATGACGAGCGTAGTGCAAGAGCACTCGGAGTTGGGTCGGCACTTCTTCAACTCCTCGCCGTCCAGAACGAACTCGCAGAACCATTGAACCTCAATGGTGACCTCATTTCCGACCTTCGCGACCGCACCGTAATTCCTTGCCCATCCGATGGTGACAAGGCTCTCGAAGCCATGTTTGCAGCTACCGCAGGGCCGAACAGCGACAAGTCGGTTGCATGGTTGAAGAAACTGCTCCGCTTCAAAAAGGCCCACACCTTCTTCGACCATGATTTCCGTCCACCTACTTTCCGCCGCGAGTACCCATCTCAGTCTACTCCTACGGAAGCAATTTCGGTTATACTGCAAGATCAGACAAGAATTACACGCGAACATCCCGAACTAAAGCGTAAACGTGCAACGCAGGGTGTAGGAAACCCTGCGAAGAAATTGAAGACCGTCGGCGGCACCGGATCGAAATCCAAGCGCAAGGCGGAAGGGGAGTTGGATGATGACTTGAAGCCGGGGAAGAAGGTTAAGGTAAAGCGTGGGGCAAAGGAGAAGGCCGATGTACTACCTGGTGCATCGGGGAGACAGCTGCGTGCCCGGAAGGTCTAGTCAGAGTCGAGTACCTTGATAATCAAATAGCTTATACTCAGCGATACTCCATCTTTGTGCACCAAAAAAACCTCAAAACAATGACTAAATCTAATGGCAAGTGTCATTTAACGACTAGATTGTCTTGTGGTTGAAAAAGTGGATCAGTGGTGCGGACTGCGATGGCAAGGAAGCACCGAGTGTTATAAACGGGACGAGGTATTCGGGGGAAGATGCCGATGCTTTCATATAATGATATGAGTAAGTTACTTACAGTGTGATACCTCAGTGTAAAACGGCGCCGACCCAAGCCATCACAAGCCCAAGCCATCAAAGCCCACCTCAGCCAAATTCAAACTCCGCTTGGCGGGGCAAGCCATTCGGCCAAGCCAGTCCGTACACTCTGCATTGGTATGCCTTCTTTCCTCGATATCTTCTTGCACTCCACAACCAATTCAAAATCAAACAAAAGCCTTTCTTCTAGATAGTGTTTGTGTTCGATAGGCAGGTCTTCCTTGGTTCGGACATGAGGATCATATTTTAATATTTATCCCACTGCGAATCAGCTCTGCTAACACCGGAGTAGACAGCTGCAGTAAGATGGCTTGCAGTACGGTTACACTCTTCAAAAAAATCGCTCACTCGGCTGACAAAAATTGGGTATAGATACCTGGGACGTCGTGCACGGTGTACGCCTGCCTTTGATGTTATAGTACTCGACCAGTCATCCAGCGGGTGATCTGGGTTCGACTCCCAGCGTTCGGATGCATGTGGTTCATTCAGCTTCCTTTTTCTTGCACTCCAGAACCGATTCAAAATCAAAATCAAAGTCTTTCTTCTAGATAGCGTTTGTGTTCGATGAGTGTGCCTTCCCATTTTTTCCCTTCCACCACAAACCAAACATTGAGTTTAGCAGGCCATCGACCATTTTTCGAACTATAAATCGGTGTCAAACGCACCGAAATGAGGCCTTGGTTTGCGGTATGGCTGCCCTCCGTGCAAAAATCGCTCAATCAACCGCCGGAAAACAGGTATAGGCACCTTGGATGTCGTGCACGGTGCACGCCTGCCATTGATAGTAAAGAGTCTCAGAGTCCAGCGGGTGATCTGGGTTCGACTCCCAGCGTCCGTATGCACGATATTTATCGCACTGCCTTTTTCTTGCAGTCCAGAACCAATTCAAAATCAAACAAAAGTCTTTCTTCTAGATAGCGTTTGTCTTCGATAGGCAGGTCTTCCTTGTTTAGGACATACGGACTGTATTTCAAAATTTTACCTAGTACGACTGAAATTTTACCTATTACGATCCTGATACATACTACGAACGACCCTGATACACAGCGGAATCGTCTGACTGACGCGTAGTCTCGGACCAAACTCTTATGACATCCAATATAGGAACCCTGTCATGAGAGGGTTCCCATATTGGGATGTCATGAGAGTTTGGTCCGAAACTGACGCGGAAGCTGGGTGATCTCTGCGAGGCTTTTAACAAGGCTCGGTGCCATGAAAAGCCTGCAAGACAATAGGACGAGGAACGAAACGAGAGCGCGGCAAGAGTCAAGGCAAGAACTAAGGATCTAAACTAACTAAGAGTGCAAAACAAAGCAATATTCTGTATTCTGAGGGTAGAGGTGCGTACATTTTATACTAGAGAAGCTCCGAGATTGGTAGAAACAGGATTCAAGCAAGTAGAAAATATGAGCAGTCCGAGAATCGCTTTGTGCGGGCAAAATTATCAAGTGCGAGCGAAAGACCAAGCCTTCCAAGCGAATCAAAAGTCCGAAATGAATAACGAGGCAGTGGAAGTGGAATGGAAGCAGGCTGGAAGCAGATAGGCCAATTTCCAGGGTTTAGAACGCGCAATGAGGCTGGTTCGAAAAGTCGGTTCCTGACCCCAGTACAGAACTGGCTAATTATATCGGACGTGGTGCGTGGTGAGTATACCTGACCCTCGTCACTTCGTTACTTCGCTTAGAATTGAGGATGTTCGTGAGTTTGATGGATTAGCGTGAAAGTTCGTCATTTCGACGAGGATCGGAGAAAGCTCGTAACTTGAGATCAATGTGGTGAAAGCTCGTCACTTCCGTGCGCGGGAGAAGTGTTTGGTCTTGGTTTGGTCACCGGGATCACAGGTCTCTTTCTTACCACCGCCTCACCCCAGCGATTTCGCGTGCGCGTCGCAGTCGCCTACCCATCGCCTGCCATGGACTACGATACTTTTTCTGAGGATGTCCAACAATTTGAGCTATGGACTCGAACACAGCCTGATCTGAATGGTATGGCATGCGTTCACTGTGAGTCTTTTAGTATTGGCATCGGACTGACCTTCGATAGGCTGGTGGGAGCATAAGGAGATGCACAAATAAGACCGTCGAGCTGCCGTTACAGATGCCCAGCCTCGCCTCAAGCAGATCCGGGTGGAGTCAAATGTTTGGTTCGTGGTTTCGGGTTACTAACGATATTTATGTAGTCCAACTCCTTCAGGTGTGTTCGCGCCTCTCGACCACGTAAGAGTCAGTGGACCGAATCCGGTGCGATACAGTCGCAGTTTTATTGAGAAATGCCTTGCTCACATGAACATAGACCCTACCAGAGCATCTACTCCTCAATGCTCTACGGCTCAAGGTTTGAGTTCTTTGTGTCCCGAAAAATTCATCTGAGGTCGAGACTTAGTTCATGTAAATGCACCTGGGACTATTCCTGGCAATGTCGGGGACGGAGGGGTACTAGGTGCGAACACATCCCGAGATATCAATTGAAGCGCTGAGACTTTGGCAGTTTCAACACACTCAACAAGGCTGACGCAAAAACGCTCTTGCTCAGCATCTTTGTAGTCGGATGCGCTTCCCAAGCACCTGATGCTTGGGCCACTGAGAGGTTGGGGGGTTCGTAGGGATGGCGTGAATGTTATCTGAGTCGAATAGATCGATACCTTATTATCTTGCTGATATTCTCTGATACATACCTTCAACTACCGTACATATTTTTAACTACAATAGATTCAGATCCAACTCGAACTCGCACGAAGTGAAGATGTCTGTGTAGTGAAGCATATCACATACTTCCCACGGTTCAACCCATCTCGCAGTTCTGGTGTCCCTCCTGGTCTCATAACATTCCTCATGCACCGCCTTCTACTCCCAACGTGTTTCGATGGGTGATATGAAAGAACCGAAATTCTCTGAGGAAATTCACTTTGGTTGAATCTATGGAGGACATTTGGACACGATGTTTAACTTACTCCTCGTAAATGCATCTGCAAAAAAATCAGAATGTTGAATCAGAAGGTTCTCGGTGAGTATTTGACACAGATGCGACCATAGGTTCATCATTTTGAATAGATTTACCGAAAGGGGGGTTGACATGGCGACTTAATCTTCATACTGGGATCCGATGGATAGGTCCCGTCGAACGAGAAGGCAAAGAATTAAGGATACCAAACTTTCTCATTTCCAGTTGGTTGAAACCGTCGTCCTTGGGTTGAATGGGCCCTTAGTCAGGGATTCCGGGTGAGTAGACACTTGCTCTGTTTGTACTTCAAATTATTCCCAATTTCTACATGAAGTCTTCTCGGATGTGGCATTTAATCCGTAGATTCTTTGTGTAGATCTCATGATTCTCTTGTTGTCTCGTCCTTCGCTCGCAAAAGTTTGAAACACTCTTACGATCACATAAATATCGTGTCAGGGGCAGGAAATGCTAGGACGGGAATGGGTGATCCTGGAAGTACAACTTCAGCCCAGTTTGATTTTTCCTTGGGAGACTTGCCGACAGTTAACATGTCATTCGCAGAACCTCCTACCACAGATCCACATTACCAGGTTTCAAGAGTCGATAGTACATGTGCTGCAATAAAATGATTCCGTTGGCAGGTCTTGATCAAATCTGACGAAATCCATGGTTAAATCACATTGACTCGGACCTCCAGTCCAGACAAACATGTTATCTGGCTCGGAGAATTGGGTTATGTACACAATTTCCGGTGGCTTATTTCAGAATGAAATAAAGGTGATCATATGAAAATGCTGAAGCTTAAGCCAAAATATTCGAGTTTTACTAGTCGACTTGTTTCATTGAATTCTTTTGTACCCATACAATGTATTAAAGCTATTTAGTGCTCCCCCAACTTAATCCGTGGCTCTCCTAGCCATACAGAATGAAAGGAGAGCGCACGCCGATGCCGCATCGATGTTTACAGCCACGGTCGCGACTCGCATCAATGTGCACCAGTGCTGCGCCAATGCGCGCCCTTTCTACCATACACATGATGATCTTCGACGCGGTCATGTGGTTATCTAAGTGACGAGCTTTCATGTTTTTCAGAGGAAGTGACGAACAACCATGAAATCTAGCTGAAGTCACACACTTTCACAGACTGCAGCCTCAAACTGACGAACTCTCCCGGGGCTCACTCGTACTCACGAAGTTCCGCACTCCTAAGCGAAGTAACGAAGTGACGAAAGTGGTGTGGACTCGTGCGTGGTGCACGCTCGCTCCTCATGTGAAGAAAGTAGGGTGTTCAAGCGGGTCCCGGGAGGCCTGGGTTCGACTCCCCGCGTCCGAATGGCAGCAGCGAATGCATTTTTTTTCTTCTTCTGCGTTAACTGCCAGTGATTGATGTTTTTTTCGACACAACTTGCTCGGTCCCGGTCGAGTCCTTTGTGGACATCTCGGGGCTGCAGCTGCGGGACCCCGGAACCAGGGCATATGCATTTTGAAGTCGCTCAGTGTAGATGTCTCGGACGTGCTGCACAACGCATGCTCACTGCTCTCACATAAAGAGACAATTCTGAGCTTTCAAGCGGGAAGCCTGGGTTCGACCGTGTGGGCGTCAGCGTGGAGAACGGGCCGACGGCTGCGGCACATGATGCAATATTTTAACACCGTCTTGGCGGATCCGGGAGAACACGGGTCGGTTTGCTTCCGGCCACCATGTGCGACGCTGGTCCTCCGTCGATTTCTTCCCCCCATTCCACTTGCGTAGGCTGAGCTGGAGCGCTGGTCGTTTACGCAAGCCGGTCAATGCAAGCGAGTCCATTTTCAACTCTCCCTTTCGAAAAACGTTTGTTTTCTCGGGCGTCAGATGTTACTTGAATCAAACTCGAATGCGGAGCTACGAGGTTCTTTCAACTTCCGTCAACTTCCCTCACATCCGAGGCCGCCCTTTCTCCACCGCATTCACCTGTGCGTTCCCTTTTTCCCCCCCGCCTGTATGCGCATCGAAACATCACTCAAACTTCAAAATCATCCACCACAGTGCTCTATCTATCGCGCTACATACATATCTGAACCCCGAAATAGGAATGTTCATCGGACGTGGTGCGTGGTGCACACTCGTTGTCTATGTATAGTTGCTGAAGTGCGTTCAAGCGGGAAGGCTGGGTTCGACTCCCAGCGTCCGAATGTGTGAGCAGTGAGCACTGTGCATTTTTTCTTCGTTGTTGATTGACTTGTTTCTACAGGTTGACCAGTCGAGTTCTCTGTAGACGGATGCCAAGGTCGAAACAGAGTATCTCGAAATCGCCCACCCAGCTCGCTGCGAATCAGCTACATTATATCGGACGTGGCTCGCGGTTCACACTCGCTATCCATGCATAGTAGGGAAACCGCGTTTGAGCAGGCAACCTGGGTTCGACTCCCATCGTCGGAGTACGCCGTGAACAGAAGTTTTTGCCCATCGTCCCGCTGCGAGTGTCAACATCACAAGTGTGTTTCCCTTCAAGGGTTAGCACAATCTCGCAATCCCTCGTTTAATTTCATCCCCTTCCCGGTTCCTCAGTGCGTCAGCCACCCGAGTCCGCACGCTGAACATCCATTCGTGTTCAGACCACGACCACAAGGAGCCCAAAAAATCTGCAACCTGCAAGCCACAGAACGGTATTGTTGTATCGGACGTGGTGCGCGGTGCACGCCCTCTGTTTATACCTCCAGTGACTTGATTCAAGCGGGAAGCCTGGGTTCGACTCCCAGCGTCCGAATGTGAATGGCAATGTATCCGCCTTTTTCTTCTTCTTGTTGACTGATTGTTTTGTACAGGTTGAACTCGGTCTCGGTTGAGTCCTCTGTGGACACATTTTTTTCGAGACTGCACAGAGCATTTCGAATCGCCCCACAGAATGGTGTAGATATCTCGGACGTGGTGCGTGGCGCATACCTGCGCCTTATGGAATAGGTTCCATGTGCTTTTGAGCGGGAGGCCTGGGTTCGATTCCCAGCGTCCGAATCGGTGGACAGTGTGATTCTTTTGTGCACCTTTTCTACGGCACACGAGGAAAATTCGGCTATCTACCCGCCACAAAACAGGCTCATTGTATCGGACGTAGTGCACGGTGCACAGTTGCCGCTCTTATGTTGACTCCGGCGAAACTTTGGGCAGGAACTCCGGGTTCGACTCCCGGCGTCCAGAGATGCGATGATATGCCGTGGATTCAACCACGGCTGAATTCTTCGATTTTGCATCATTGCAGAACCCTATAATGGGACCACCAGTGAGACTTAAAGGGTGCTAGTCCATTCCCGGGACTGAGCATTAAGCTGTTGTAGCGGTTGAACTTGCTGTTAAACCAGTGTCTGAGGATATAATCAACAGTCCTCCTATGGACTTGCAATTATGACTCGGGACCCAGAGGCAAACCATAGGACTACTCTGACAAGATGTATCTAACTAATGCAGCAAGTTCGAGTTCAATATGGCCGTGAGACAAACAAGGGATTAGATGAAGGGATATAATCACAAAAAGATTACTTGGACCATAAAAACTTTAGACTTGGAGTCGAATTACGGGCTTGCGCGCCTATGCCAAAAACTCCGCTCCGGCCGGTTCGGAACTTCCGGACTGGGTGCGTGATTTCGAGGCCGTCTTCAACCGGGAGTCCTTCGACTCGCTCCCCGAGAGCCGAACCTGGGACCACGCCATCAAACTCGTTCCGGACTCGAAGCCCGCCAACTGCAAGGTCTACCCGATCTCGCCCCTCGAGCAACACAAACTCAACGCGTTCATCGAGGAGGGCTTGTCTACCGGATGGATCCGGCCGTCGAAATCCCTGATGGCCTCTCCGGTCTTCTTCGTCAAAAAGAAGGACGGAGGCCTCCGGTTCGTCCAGGACTATCGGGCACTCAACGCTAAAGAACCGGTACCCCCTGCCTCTGATCAACGATCTCATCAATGGTTTGAAAGGAGCCCGGTTCTTTACGAAACTCGACGTCCGGTGGGGCTTTAACAACGTCCGCATCCGGGAGGGTGACGAGTGGAAGGCCGCATTCCGTACCAACCGGGGGCTCTTTGAGCCATTGGTGATGTACTTCTGCCTTACCAACTCCCCGGCGACCTTCCAGACAATGATGAACAACATCTTCCAAGATCTCATCTTGTCTGGCGACGTCATACCTCGACGACATCCTCATCGTGCACGGCCTTCACCCGGTCTTTCCGGTCGTGAAGCTTCAGCTTGCGGAAGAGGACCCCTTTGAAGGCCGCCCCGGCTACGACGAGCCTCCTCCGGTCATCGACGAAGAGGCTCCTCCGGACGCCGCGCCGGAATGGGAGGTACAGGAAATCCTGGAAGCCAAGATACGCTATGGCGGACTCTGGTATTATTGTCGGTTTAAAGGATATGATAACTCACATGATAAATGGGTTAAGCATTCCGACCTTTTCGCCCCAGAACTCGTCGCCGACTACTACCGGAGATACCCTGCTGCCCCTCGCTCCATCGCCTCCGCTGCTTTCGACTCGCTCCCCTTCCGGGACCCGGCCTCCGTATCCGTTCTATGTGTCGAGGCGCCGCATTCCAAGGGAGGGGGTGATGTCAGGGGAACCCCTATTTCCGGCCCTTCCGCTCCCGCATCCGGACCTTCCGGTCCCGTTCCGACCCGTTCCGGCTCCTCCCGATATCACATGGCCTGTGATTCCGCCCGGGACCTCTGCCGATCACTCCGGTTGCTATCACATGCCCCCTGTCCGTAGTTACTTATATGTATACCGGGATCTGACGCGGGTGATCCTTAGTCTTTCTTCTCTTCGGATCCCCCTCGTCAGGTCTGTCCATTTGTATCTGTAGCTACTCTGTGATATTTATCTTCGGATCCCCCTCGTCAGGACTCTTGAGTATACTCGGGCCTTGAGGTTGCCCTTACACGTTTGTAATCCTCCGAGAGTAGTATTTAAGCACCCTTTTCCCTGCGGCGATGTTCATATTGCAAGGCTGTTAGCGTTGGATGTGCGGGATTAGTTGACGTTGATTTTGCAGATTCGTTGAACTTGAATTCGCAGAGTTTGTTGACGCAAACCAGCAAACTCCAATTTATGAACCCAATCTTCAATCTCCTCCGAAGCACCAATCTGGCACCCCATTCGACTTCACCCTGCTCCTCTTAAAGCCGCAAAGCCGCAGATCAAAACCGCCAGCTTGGGTTTAAATTCGACTCCCCACGCTGATACACCGTACTCTGTACAAGCTTGAAATCATTCATTTTCGCGATCCTTACAAGTCTGTTAAAGCTTGCTAAGGACATAGTAAATACTAGAGGATGCAAGTCTTGAAGCCTGGGACGGAGCATTAAAGTCCCGAGATGTGTTGATTCAATTAAACAAGAGCCAGAGCAGTAGAGTAATCTCCAATGGTACCTCCAAACTGGGGCCGGAGAAGGTAACTTGAAACAAAGGGGCCAAAGCTGAGGTTAAGGACTCACCCGGCAAGGAGCATCTGAACACGGTGCCACAAGCTCGGTGCCAATACCAGCACTAGGATAAATACCAAAGGCCAATGGAAGGAACTAAGAGACAAAACTAGAGAGGCTATGCGTATGCGCCTGGTTAGGATTATAAGGACAAGGCGCGCGGATCTCGAGTTGAATAACGGCCACGTGATCAAGTCGCGTCGAGACGCGAGCGCTCATAAGGATCAGTCCGGTGGGCATTAGATGGTTACTAAAACAGGAGAGCTCTGTAATGCGGACAAGGGACAACCGAGCCCCAACCCAGCAGTGGAATGGCTGAGGAGGAGAGAAGTGCTTAGGTCGATTCTTGTGGACAACAGGACATCTGAACACTGACCAATCTGTCTAAATGGCGGCCACACACTCGCTTCAATGTAAACTTATTAATCCGCTCGTTCATCCGTTTGTAATCTTAGAAAACCAAGTAGCAGTAGTATATAAAGCTCCTTCAAATGTAGTAGACAGATCAGTGAAGCCCCCGTTATTTGGCACGACTAGTGGATATCAGCTTAAGAGTGCAGCCTAAACAGCTGACTTTTGAGACGCCTCTCGTCAAGTCTTGTAAACTCAGCCTTACTCGGATACAAGGGTTCCAGTAGATCCGGGTCTTCGGCTCGTTACACATCTATACTGCAATTAGGTGTTGGATTTCTGTTAGATTGAATAGATTGGATTTTCGAGACCTCTTAAACAAGGATTACCTTTTACTTGAGAACAACTTGCATTGGATTATAGCCTTTGAAGTGGTTGGGACTAGTACCTTCCTTTGAAGCACTAGGGGCCATCTATCAGTAATTGGGAAACAAACTTAAAGAACTTAGAAACCTTTTCTGGCCGTCTGTGGATCCCCACCTTAAAGCACGTTGTAAAACGGCGCGCATCGAGAAACCCTACCCTTCTCATTATTGAGTTGGAGTTATTAGCAGTTACCTTTTGGCAGTCCCAAACCTATCAAACTTGTGGAAACCTACCTTTGAATTGAAATTGACGGTCGATACGTGACCCACCCCCCTCGAACACACACGAAGTATTGAGTAGTTGTTAGTTGTTGAGTTTGGTGTTGGTTTTTGAGTAGACTTCGTCTCTCATTAGTTGGCATTAGATTTCACAGCTGCACGTCAGTGCACCGTTTCAACGCCTCAGTGAGTGACGTGAATTCCTCAGTTTTCCGTTTCCCTGCGGTGAGGGTTCACATTTTATTGGGACGGTGTTCTCAGTCGAAGGATCAACAAAAACCACGAGGATGAACTAGCTTCTGAGCGATGTGAATGCTGTAGCTCTCTAAGACCTGCAGGCAATGTCGTGGCAAGCGCCAAAAGACGGTGATCACCGATGAGGCCAGTGGGCCGGCCCAGCCGGGAATGACATGAATTATTCGATAAATCGAATAGTTGCAAGTTCAGCTTGTTGAGTTCCATCGCAATAGGTCTGTGTAATACGCAGCACGTATATAGCCCTTCACCATGAACAGAAATTACAGTGCTTCATGTACCGTTCATTTCCGATTCAACTTTAGTTAATATGTACGCTAGAAGAACTGTCGTTCCCAAATGTGTTCAGTCTGTCAGTGTCATTCCATACAGTACAAATCAAGGCAGCCATGCACTTTCAGGAATCACACCGGAAAAAGAGATAAATCGGCGTGGCTGAGAACGTTCCTAAAGCTAGTAGTTTAAGCGGCAAACTTAGTATAGCTGAAAACGTACCTGAAGTGAAAGGCTTGAGCGGTGCTGGATACGTTGCTGAGTTCTCACGAATGAATGGCGAATTCAGCGTGGTTGAAATGCTGAATTTTGGGAGCACTTACGGTCACGCTGATTGTGCTCCTGAAACTCGAGGTTTCAGAGTCCGATTCAGTGCCGCTGAAACAAAAGGATTCAGGAGCGCCTAATTGGACGCTGAAAACAAAAGACTCGGCACCGACTCCAGCATGCCTTAAGTAATCAGTTTCGGGTGCCGATTCGGTACATACCGAAACTGCGTCTGAATCCAACAGCTTCAGCAACGCCGAAATTAGCCCGCGGGTCACCCTAGGGTCACTCCAGAGTGAGGCGAGGGTGACCCGAAGGGTACAAAATTTTTCAAAACCGATATTATTGCAAAGATTAAACAAAGTATACAAGTAGACAAGATCTCGAGCCTGGAACAACTTCCGCGCACGAGAAACGGCGGCGGATTCGCCGAACGCTGTGCGTGCGTGGTTCCCACTAAGCGCACTGGATAAGATACGATAAGATAAGATGAGATAAGATGGTTTGC